TAAAGGGCAAAACCTGAACCTGGAATATTCAAGTGGATCGCCCGGCCGATGAGCTTGGCCACGGTTTTGACACCCTGGCCGCCGCGGCCATGAATACGAATCTCTTTCATGGTGAAATCCTCTTTGACATGTTTTGGGAAAAATGTGGATCGGAAGACGTGTCCAACCCGAGGCGAAACACGTATAAACGCCGGTGTTGCACAAAAAAGGAGGATCATATCTGTTTTACGTCCTCTTTTTTATGCAACACCGGGGGAAAGAATAAAAAAAGAACCGCTGCCCTCAGGATGGCTTGCGCGTTCCCTTTTGGCGGTATCGGAAAAAAACATCCGCGTCACAAAGAATGATGCGGTCAGGCGGGTTTAACCCCTTGCAGTTTCCTGTATAAACTCAAAACCCTTTTTCACGGCGGCCATATTCATGGGAATAAAACGCGCCTTCATGCCTTCATAGAGATACTTGAACGTATCCTCGGTCTCGGACAGGGCCGTCGCCTTGTCCCATCCGATCTTGGCGAGACCCCCCGTACACATGATGCAGTTCAACGCCTTGGAGGTATCCATTTTACCCTCCAGCTCTTCACCGAGTTCAAGCGCCAGATCCGAACAATGGATGGGAACCGCCGTGATATCATCGCGCCCCACGTCGCGATCGATAATGGAAATGTTGTACAGCAAAAGCCCCCCGGCCCGTAACTGCGGGATAAAATCCATGGAAGGCTTGTTCATGATCAGCAGGATATCCAGCACCTCGGCAATGGGAGCGTCGATATCGCCTTCGGAGGTCGTGACCCAGCAACGCACCTTGCCCCCCCGGGATTCCGGCCCGTAGGTCGGCGTAAACACCACATGCTCGCCCCCCTTCAGCGCCTGGTAGGCAATGAAATTTCCCAGATCCAGGATTCCCTGGCCGCCATGACCGGAAATCATGACCTTCAGCACACCGTCCTGTTTCAGATTTATCGCCGGGTCTGCTCGTTTGCGTCACCTCCTGTTCCTTTCCCGGGCGCGGGCGATCCCGCCGGAGCCGGGACCAACGGTTTCAGTTTTTGGCTCCACGCCGAAGTCATCACGATACAAAGCGGGTGGAAACATCTTGACGTGGTGCTCGGTTCCCCAGCGCTTGGCGTCCAGCACACTCTTCTTCCAGTTAATGGCGCAGGTCGTCAGAATCTCCACAAAAGCATACCCACCCATCTCCTGAACCTTGAAAGCGTTTTCAATGGTTCTGGCCGTCTCCAGCACATTTTTGGCGCTCCAGACCGCGCCCTTGCGCGTCTGCCTTTCCTCGATAATAGCCGACACCCGCCGCACATAAGAAGCATTGGCGACCTCTTTGAGCAGCTCACAGACCATGGTGGGTTGCCCGGTCTGGGCAATGTCCCGGCCCGCAGGCGTCGTGGTGGACCACATGCCGGGGTGGGTGGTGGGCGCCATCTGGCCGCCGGTCATCCCGTAAATGCCGTTGTTCACCAGAAACACCGTGATAGGCTCCCCCCGGATGGCCGCCGAAAGGGTTTCCCCAATCCAATGGCCAAAGCGTCCCCATCCCCCTGAACGGTGAAAACCGTACACTCCGGACCGGCCCGTTTGATGCCGGTGCAGACCGCAGGCGCCCGGCCGTGCATCACCTGGATATGGTCCACATTGGTATTGATAAGCGCGCACGGAGCACCCAACGGACGCCACGCCGATCGCGGATTCCTTTTTCCCCAGATCCGTCAGGGCCTTGGCGATCAAGCGGGTCAGCATCCCATGCTCGCATCCGGCGCAGTAACGCTGCGCCCGGTCATTGTAAAGCGCATCCAAAGGTCCGAATTTTACGTCATACGCATCGTCCAGCATTAAACCACCTCCAAAGGGATATTCATTTCAAACGTCTTCCGTATTTTACGCTTGGCATCTTCGATACTGAAGTAATTACCGCCCAGCGGTTCAATCCGGTAATCAGCACCGGACCAAGCCCGAACATGGAAGCCCGCACATCCTCTATCATCTGGCCGTGATTCAATTCCGCCACGATAAACTTCTTTCCTTCCCGGCCCAACGCGTGCAGTCTTTTTTTGGGAAACGGCCACAACGTCTGGGGCCGGAAAACGCCCACCGGCAATCCATCCTTGCGCAACTGGCGGGCCGCGTCCCTGGCAATGCGGGACGGAAGCCCGTACGCCACGACAATGACCTCGGCGTCCTCGCATTGCCACTCTTCGTAGCGCACCTCGTTTTCAGCGATCAGCGCCCACTTGCGCCGCAGATGGTCCGACACCGCCTCCAGCTCATCCACTTCCAGGTAAAGCGAATTGAGGACATTGGGACTCCCGGCCCTTGGCGCCGGTCAGCGCCCAGGAAGTATCGCACGGCTGCCGGTCTATTTCCGGAAGAACAATATCTTCCTTGATCTGACCCGTAAAAGCATCCATCATGATCACCCCCGGATTGCGGTATTTATAGGCCAGATCAAAAGCAAGCGCCGGGAAACTGGCGATCTCCTGAACCGTGTTGGGCGCCAGCACAATCAAATGATACCCGCCATGCCCGCCGGCCTTGGTGGCCTGCCAGTAGTCGGACTGTTCCGCAGCGATATTTCCAGCCCCGGGCCGCCGCGGTTGACATCCCCGATGACCAGGGGAATCTCCATGGTGGCGGCGTAGGAAATCCCCTCCTGCTTGAGGGAAAAACCCGGCGAAGAGCTGAACGTCATACTCCTGGCGCCGGTGGCGGCCGAACCGATGGTCATTGCAATGGCCTCGATTTCGGAAGGCGTTTGCAAAAACACCTTGAAGTCAGGCCAGTCCGGCTTGCCGAACTCTTTGGCGAAAGTCTCCGGGACCTCTGTGGAAGGCGTAATCGGGTATGCGTAATAGGTCTGCAAGCCGGCCATCAACGCACCGAACACAATCGCTTCATTGCCCTCATCAGAACCCGTTTTCCAGTCGTAAAGCCCATCAATCACACACCCCTTTTTTAAGCGTTTTGATCCTGGTGACCGCGTAGTCGGGACAGACCATCCAGCAAAGCCCGCAGGCCGTGCAATTGCCCTTTCTCCCCTCATAAGTAAACGTTGACGGATGGAACCCCTGGGCGTTGAACACCTTGCGGTCCAGCTCAAGACAGCCCTGGGGGCAAATCACCACACACACCTCACAACCCTTGCACTTTTCCCCGGCTATCTCGACGATAACCCGCGTCTTCTCTTCCTTGATTTGCACATCGTTTTTTTTCATCTTTGACTCAGATCCTTGTTCGGGTCATTGGAGAACGGGCCTCGGCCCGTCATTTCTCTCAATTCTCTTCTCAGAACCTTGCCGACAGCCGCACTCTTCGGCAGCGCATCGATAAACGCTATAGACTTCGGAACCTTGTAGGCGGCCAACCGCTCCTTGCAATAGGCGATGACCTCATCTTCGGTCAGGGACACCCCTTTGCGGCAAACCACAAAAGCCTTTACCGTCTCCCGCGGTAGGCATCGGGAACGCCCACCGCGCAAGCCTCGCGCACTTTCGGATGCGACGTAAGCACCGCATCGATCTCCACCGGATAAACATTGAAGCCGCCCGCAATAATCACATCTTTTGCGCGGTCAACCACCGTCAGGTAGCCGTCCGCGTCAAACCGGCCGATATCGCCGGTGCGCAGCCACCCGTCCTGCAGCACCCGCCGGGTCTCTTCAGGACGCTTGTAATACCCCGGCATAACCTGCGGCCCCTTGACGACAATCTCCCCGGTCCGCCCCGCGCGGCTTCCGGCCGGCCGGTCTCCGGGTCCACAATGCGCACATCGGTGTGCGGAATCGGCACGCCCACCGTCCCCGGCCGGCCCTGGCCGCCCCAGGGCGTCGCCGCGACCAGCGGAGCCGCCTCGGTCAAGCCGTACACCTCGCACAACGGCAGGCCCGTCAGGTCCTCGAACGCGCCATTGATATCCGGCGAAAGGGGGGCCGCGCCTGAAAAAGCCGCCTTGAGGGATGAAAAATCCAGCACGGCGAATTCCGGCTCCGCCATCAGCCCGATAAAAAGCGTGGGAACCCCCGGCAGCATCGAAGGAGAATGCTGCTTCAGGAATTTCCATAATGGCCCGGGGTTCCGGCTTGGGCACCATGATGTGCTCAAAAGCTTTCCAGATCGTGAAGTTCTGGATAAAACTGAATCCGGCGGAATGAAAGATGGGGTAGGTTCCCACCAAAGACGCTTCACCCGGCGCCCAGTCCGGCAGCCAGGCGGCGAACTGCTGAACATTGCTGCTCAGGTTGGCGTTGCTCAACAGGACCCCTTTGCTCACCCCGGTGGTGCCGCCGGTGTAAATCAGAGCCGCCGGCGCGTCCCACCGGCTGCGATCCGCCACAGGACCGTCCGCAAAAGCGGCGACCAGCGCCTCAAAAGCAAACCGCTCATCCAGCGGCGAAAAAGAAGAAGCCGCCGGCTTTTTATCAACAGGGGGAGACTGTTCTGCGGAAAAAGACGAAAAAGCGTCCATCCGGCAATCTATGATCTTTTCGATCCGGGTTCCGGGCTTGAGCGCCCGCACCCGGTCGACAAGCGCGGACAGGCAGATGACGGCTTTCGCCTCTGAATCGCTTAACTGATATTCAAGCTCCCTGTCCGTCAACAGGGGATTGTTCTGGACCGCCACCGCGCCGATTCTGAGAATCGCCAGGTTGGCGATCACTGTCTGGGGAATATTAGGCAGGCACAACGCCACTTTGTCACCCGGCTGAACCCCCAAAGCCATAAGCGCCCTCGCAAATGAGTTGACGAAGCTGTCCAGTTCCTTGAAACAAATTTTGCGGCCCATGTAGTTCAGAGCTGTTTTCGCGGAAAACCCCCGGGGGCACGGATAAAGCCTGAAATGGTGGGGTTAACAGGGAGCGG